CAGCTGTTAAGTCAGTAACATAGTTGTTAAGTGAATCTGGCTTCCTCATTTGACTTTAATAATAATAAAGTTGGAAGGAGCCTTGGAGGTCATCTAGTCCAACCCCCTGCTCAGGCAGGAAACCCTATACCATTTCAAACAAATGGTTGTCCAGTCTTTTCTTGAAAACTTCCAGTGTTGGAGCATTCACTGCTTCTGGAAGCAGGTTGTTCCACTGGTTAATTGTTTTCTCTGTCAGGAAGTTTCTCCTTAGTTCCAGGTTGCTTCTCTCCTTGATCAGTTTCCACCCGTTGCTTCTTGTCCTGCCTTCAGGCGCTTTGGAGAATAGCTTGACTCCCTCTTCTTTGGGGCAGCCCCTGAGATACTGCAACACTGCTATCATGTCCCTCCTCGTCCTTCTCTTCTTTAAACTAGACATTTGTTTGTCAGAAGGTCACAAAAGTTGATCACATAACCCCTGGACACTGTGACCATCATAAATATGAGCCAGTTGCCAAGCGTCCAAATTTTAATCCCCTGACTAGGGGGTGCTGCAATAGTTAAAAAAACAGGGTCCCGTAATCCAGACAAAATGGAAACCAAAATGGTTTAACTTCCATTAAAAAAAAAAAGTGTTTATGATTAAAACTTGGAAAAGACCAATAAAGCTTTGATAAAAATTAAATGGGGAAGAGGGTGTAATTATGTGAAAATTGCATTTCATCCAGGGCAAAATGTTGACATCATTTCTGAATGATCACATCTGCTAGGTTAAATAACGGTATAAAAATGCAACTATTTAAAGAAGTAGGGAAAAACTGCATCACCAAAGAAAATCTCAAGAACACGGAGAGATAGTAAACAAACAAATTATAGATTGTCTGGCAAACATAATAGTGCCTTGCATAGCCCAATTTTAATAATGCTGAACGAAGTAGCTGAATCATCTAATGACACAGATAGTGCAAAGCAGCCAATTACTGAAATCTATGGCAGTTCTTATTAAGAAGAAAAATGCCATTCCTCTAGACACACCATCCACAGGGGGGGAAATATCTGCCTTCCTGTGAGTTGCTTCCTGCCAATTGCTAAGAAAAAGAAGCTTACAAGGAAAATTCCCATGGCAAGCAGGGGCCATCTCTGCATTCAAAGGGGGGGGGGATATCTCAATGCACTGGACTCCCCTTTGGCAACAGTCTCTGGCCCAGGCCTATCAAACTATTCACTCACCAGGACAGGGGTAGTCAACCTTGGCTCTTTTATGACTCGTGGACTTCAACTCCCAGAATTCCTGAGCCAGCATGGCTCAACTTGGAAGCTCTCCCTTTCCCCTCAGCATGGCTGGCTCAGGAATTCTGGGAGTTGAAGTCCACGAGTCATAAAAGAGCCAAGGTTGCCTACCCCTGCACCAGAACAAATACAAATCCATGTGTTTGTCCAGATCTGCTGGCTAAGGTAGATCCCAAAAGGCAAGAAAACCAGAAGCTTCCATTCACTAAGGCAGTGGTTCTCAACCTTTTTATACCAGCGACTCCGGTCATAAGGACGTGGTGCGCATGTGTGGTGGCATCCTCATGCGCGGCATGCATGTGTGGCGGCGTCCCCATGCGCAGCGCGCATGTGTGGTGGCATCGCCCCCAGGTGCGGCGCGCATGCGCGGCGGCATCCCCAGGCACGGCGCGCATGCACAGCAGCATCCACATGTGCGGCGCACATGCGTGGCGCACATGTGCGGTGCTGCCCCATGCGCGGCGCACGTGCGTGACGCGCATGCGCGGTGCCGCCAGCTGAGAAAAAATGGCGGATCGCGTTGTTTGCCGATCCCCGTGAAATGGTCGTTCGACCCCAAATGGGGTCGCAACCCACAGGTTGAGAACCGCTGCACTAAGAGATGAGCTATTGTGTTTACACAGATGTTTTACTAGCAGTATCTCTAGTGCAGGACGAAAAATGCAGGTAGTCCTCGACTTACAACTGAGACTAAAAGTTCTGTTGCTAAGTGAGATGGTTGTTAAGTGAGTTTGGCCCCATTTTACGACCTTTCTTGACACAGATCTTAAGTGAATCACTGCAGTTGTTAAGTTAGTAACATGGTTGTTAAGTGAACCAGGCTTCCATCATTGATTTTGCTTGTCAGAAGGTAACAAAAGATGATCACACGACCCCGGGACACTGCAACCGTCATAAATAGGAGTCAGTTGCCAAGGGTCTGAATTTTGATCACGTGAACATAGGGATCCTGCAAAGGTTGTGAGTGTGAAGTCCCTTTTTTCAGTGCCATAGTAATTTCAAATGGTCACTAAATGAACTTTGAGTTGAGGACTATCTGTGCTATAGTATCCCACACCTAGCGAGGTTTACCCATATCTGGATGAAGACATCAAAACAGCTGATCATGTGTTACTGCACTGTCCTTTTTACAACAGCTGGTGCTCCAACTCAACAACTAACTCACTTGCTCCAACTAACAACTAACCTTGGCCCTTTTATGACTCGTGGACTTCAACTCCCAGAATTCCTGAGACAGCATGGCTCAGGTTGGAAACCTCTCTCATTTCCCTCAGCATGGCTGGCTCAGGAATTCTGGGAGTTGAAGTCCACGAGTCATAAAAGAGCCAAGGCTGGCTACCCTTGATTTAAGTCAAACTGAAGAGGAAGTAGAATCTTTTCTATTACTAGTAATAATTTACAACCAAAGCCCAAAATTTTCATTGCTAAACAAGACAGTTGTTGTGCCCAATTTTTGGTCATGGTTATCAAGAGAATCGTTGCAGTTGTTAAGCAAATCTGGCTCTCCTCAGACTTTGCTTCTCGGAAGCTGACTCAGAAGGTCACAACTGGTGATCACATGACCCCAGGACAGTCATGTGATTGGTCACAAATACATGCCAATTGTCAAGCACCCAAGTTTTGATCACCTGACCATGAGAGTGCTGCAATGGTCATGTGAAAACTGGTTGTAAGCCATTTTTTCCAGTTCTGTTGTAACTTCAAATGATCACTAAATGAATGGATGTTAAGTCAAGAATTATCCGCATCAGATCAGTTCACTTAAACCTCCAAGAAAATCGCTGAATTCTGTTCTATGGTGAGATATTAAAACCACAACAATGTAAAGTTACAATAGCATACGGACAAAAATGTATTGCTTGTATCAGATATAATGTTGGTTTAAAATGAAATATGTTATGCCCCAAAGAAGAAATATTCCTTGTTCAAATATGTTATGCCCCAAAGAAGGAATATTCCTTGTTCAAGAATATTCTGATCTTGTTCCAGCTGCATCAGTATCTCACTTCAGAATCCCAATTTATATAATTTGTCATTTATTTTTGGATTTCCTAGAAGAATTAATATTCATCAGACAGGATGAATAAGTCCTTGACTTATAACCTCATGCTTAGCAACCATTCAAAATTTCAACTTGTTGAAAAAGGTTTCACACTTATAACCCTTGCAGCGTCCACACAGTCTCGTGATCACCGTTTGCAACTTTCCCAGTGGGCTTCTATCCTGCGAAATCAATGGGGAAGCTGACAGAGAAAGTCAAATTCATGGTCATGCCTCACTTAATATCCAGTGATTCTCTTAATGACCACAGCAAAAGAGTTGTAAAATCGAGTATGGTCATGTGATACTTCACTTAATGATTACACACAATTTAATAATAAATTTGCCTGGTTCCTACTGTGGTTCAGGACTATCTATAACAGTGACGGCGAACCTTTTAGAGACTGAGTGCCCAAACCACAACCCAAAACCCGCTTATTTATTGCAAAGTGCCAGGCCGCATCAGCATTATTGTGCCCTCAGGGGATGGGCGTGGGTATGGCCCACTGGGTGGGCATGGCTGCAGTGGTCACAGCAGACTGAGTGGGCATGGCCAGGGTGGGCATGGCCACCTTGATGTTGCTCGTGGGGGGACGCCTATGGGGGCTGGGCAGGATTGGAGGAGATCCAGGGGGTCTCTGGGAGGGTGGGGCAGTGGGCAGGAGGCTCGTCCTATGGGGTGAGGCAGGGGACAGGGTGGGGATGCCATTGCTGCGGGGCAGCTGTTGCCTGACACCATTAGCCCACACACACAGAGGCCAGCACACACAGAGGCTAGCAAGCGCATGGTCTACCACCTTTACTCAAGCTTGCTAGCCAGCTGCTTCACCTCCTTTGTGTTTATTTATTTATTTATTTTTGAGACTTATATACCGCTTTAAGTGCAAGCACTCTCTAAGCGGTGTACACCAGTAAACAATGTATATATATATTTACATTGCCCCCAACAATCTGGGTCCTCATTTTACCTACCCCGGAAGGATGGAAGGCTGAGTCAACCTTGAGCCGGTGAGATTTGAACCGCTGACCTGCTGAACACAGTCAGCTAAAGTGGCCTGCAATACTGCACTCTAACTGCTGCGCCACCTCGGCTTGGGTGGGGCTGCCCTCCAGGGACCAGCATTGGCCTAATGCACCTGTGCGAGCTGGCAGCGACAACAGGTGTGCCCCCAGAGAGGGCTCTGAATGCCGCCTCTGGCACGCGTGCCATAGGTTCGCCATCGCTGATCTATAAGATGTATCAGAACGATTCAGACTGAAAGTGGGCTTTTAGCCAATATCTGAATATAATCGCCATGCCTTCATTTCTACTTTTACAAATCCTGTCTCCAAACATAAAAGCAGGGCTAGGCATACAGTCTTTCTAATTTCTTTCTAACCTTTCTAATTTCTCATGGTTGACATCTGGGTTAAACTGTATTCCATAGGAACAATGCCAGCTTCTTGGCTTCAAAGAAGCAGAAATGTATTTGGCTTCTTTAGAGAAAAGAGAAAAAAAAAAATCCAGATTGAAAATCCAGAGTTTCATGGGTTTCCCAAATAAAAAGAAATAGCTACATATCACAGTGGTTTTCTCTTCCTTGCCAGCAAAATAAGAGTCTGGTAAATTTTTATTGCACAAATCTAAAGCAAATCCACAAAATGACATATACAAAAAGCACTGGCAATATGAACAAAAGATTAATTCTTACCTTGATCCACATTAACACAGGAGAAGAGACTGATAATCTGTCATCATGTATATAAACACCACCTTGAGTGCTGTAGGAAATAAAAATATTAAAAACAAGTAGCATTACAGTAACCTGTTTTTCTGCTCTGGGTCCCCCCAAACACAACTGTCTAGTGATAAGACGTGTGCATAGGAGGAACAGCTAAACTCATAACTTCCAATTACAGTATTGGAAAAAATATGTACTTCTCCTTCTTGTATTAAAATGCAGCTTTGAGCCAGTAAATAAAACCAAAGGGCTATTTTTTTTTTGAACTAACACATCTTCCAGTCTCCAGAACTCTCAAATAAGTATGCCATTATTTTAAACCCTCTAAAAGAGGCTAATTAAAGCAACAGTCTTCCATATAAAGATGTATGGATATAAGAGATGGACACTAAGAATGGCTGATTGAAGAAAAAAATGATCCTTTTGAATTAGGGTGCTGGAAGTAAATTATTGGGTATACCATGGTCAGCCAGAGCAAGGAACAGAGAAATGCTAGTTTGTATAGAACAGTGTTGCTCAACCTTGACAATTTTAAGGCATGTGGACTTCAACTCAATGCTGGCTGTGGAATTCTGGGAGTTGAAGTCCACATGCCTTAAAATTGTCAAGGTTGAGAAACACTGGTATAGAACCAGTCCCTCAGTAGAAGCCAAAATCACAAAACTACACCTGATTTATTTTGGCCATGTCATGATGCAAATTCATTGGAGAAGTCAATGATGCTAGGAATGGTTAGTGGAACAAGAAGAAAAGGCAGGCAAAGAACTTGCTGTTTTGATACCTGAAAGCTGATACAAAGATGAATAAATATCCAGCAACTGGCAGAAGCTGTGCTTGACATATGCAGCATTTGCCTATAAAGTCATCAAGAGTCAGATACAACTGAACGATTAAAACAACAACGAAAGAGGGATGAAAAACTTAGGGTTTTTTCACTTGCTCCTAGCACAGGAAGGTGCAAAAACTAAGAAGGACAAAATATTTTACTCAAACAGAGAAGGGTTGTTTCCAAGTACTGTGTGTTATTTCCAATGGACAATGGAAAAGAGTTGTTGATGTTCTTCCTAGCACTGTACTTCTTGGATGTAAGGACCACTTATTCTGTGCTCGCTTAGTTTTTACGGTGTAGCTATCAATCAATAATGTGATGATGGTTTTGTCTGGCTTTATCAGAGAGTCTGGCAAAAGGGTCAAGAGAACTTGGCTGGCCTAAGACCGCCCAGCTGGCTTCTAGGCTTAAGGGAGGACTAGAACTTAGTTCTTTCTGGCCATTGACCAAGAGAAAGTTACTAGCTCAGAGATACTCAGCTGGCTTTCATGAATTAGACAGGAATAAAACCTTTAAGGCAGTGATGGCGAACCTATGGCACGCGTGCCAGAGGCGGCACTCAGAGCCCTCTCTCTGGGCACATAGGCCATGTCCTGGAGATGGCAACCCTCCCTCTTCAACCAGCCACCCACTAACTCGCCGAGGTTCCACATGGCCGGATGCATCCCAGCACCCATGCGCTCACTGACCTCTGTGTGCAGAGGTCGATGGTGTCAGGCAGCAGCCGCCCTGACCCCTGCCTTGCCTTGCCCTGCGACAATGGCACCCCCGCCCTGCCTCGCCTCACCTCACCCCACAGGATGAGCCTCCTGCCCACTGTCCCACCTGGCAGAGACCCCCTGGATCTCCCCCAACCCTGTTCGGCCCCCACAGGCATCCCTCCCCACGAGCAACATCGAGGTGATCACGCCCACCTTGGCCACTCTCACCCAATCTGCCATGACCACCACAGCCAGGCCCATCCAGTGGACCATGCCTACCTGGCATCCAGCGATAAATAAGTAGGTTTTGGGTTGCAGTTTGGGCACTCGGTCTCTAAAAGGTTCGCCATCACTGCTTTAAGGTATGGATTCAGGTTATATGGGAAACTGTGTCGCCCATGCCGCCTGCACCATCGGTCAAGGAATTCCAGCTGGTGGGGTTCAGAAAAAGAGACTTTTCTGCCATGGTTCCTGGTCTCTGGAACATAGACCCCCACCCCACCCAGGTGAGATATTCCCCTTTTGAAAGGGCCTGATTCTGTCCAAGCTCTGCCAACTGGCCTGCAGTCTAGATGGGAGGGTTGACATTCTGGATGTAGTGAACGGATTGAAATAAAGCCTCACTTCCCTGCCCAAATGCCTCTTGCTCCCTTCCTTGTCATCTTTGTTAATTTTAAGTCAGTTTTAACATTTTATTATTTTAATGCCTTATCTGTGGCTTTTTTTTTTTTTTTTTTTTTTTTTTGGTGGCAAGCCATGCAGAGTCACCTCTTGGTGAGAAGGGTGGCATATAAATTTAATAAGCAAATAAATAAATCCAGCAGCTTCCCCATTATGCCAAGCTGACTGCATCATGGGAGATTTTTAAGAAGAGACTGGAGAGCCATTTGTCGGGAATCGTACAGGATTGGACTAGAACAGGGCTTTTCAACTTTTTCACCCATTGTACCACTTTTAGGAAATGGCAACATTCGAGTACCACCAATCGCCTAGCCAGGTGTCAAAAACTTGATGACCAAAAAAAAAAAAAAAGGAAAAAAGTGATAAAGTACAGGTAATTCTTGACTTACAACAGTTCACTTAGTGACTGTTCGAAGTTACAATGGCACTGAAAAAAGTATCCCCCAAGGCACAGCTGAGCAAAACGCCTGCCTGCCCGCCCGGCTGCACTCTTCCTCCTGTCCGAGGTTTTCATTGTTGTGAGCATTTCTGTTGAGGATTGGCAACGGGGGTGCAATGGGGGGGTGGGGTGTTTGGTTTTTATTCCCTCCGTCTGCTGGGTAGTTGCAGCAGGTTTTGATCTCTTCACATGACTCTGGGACACTGTGACCGTCATAAATATGAATCAGTTGCCAAGAATCTGAATGTAAATCACAAGACCCTGAAGATGCTGCAACATTCCAGCTGATCGGTGCTTCTTCTGAGCTCAGCAGAAGCACCAGGATCAGCGCCAAGCTCCACCTGGAGCCTGGTGCTGATCCTGGCGCTTCCACTGAGCCCTGACAGCCTGCAGCTCCAGCCATCTCTCACTCAGGCTTGTGCGGTGCTGCCACTGGTTCAGCTCATTCTCCTCTCCTGCTACCTTTCTAGGATGGTCGCGTACCACATGCCAGGTGCCAGTGTACCACAGGTGGTACCCATACCACTGATTGAAAAGTCCTGGACTAGAAGACCTCCAAGTTCTGATCATTCTTAGTGAGAAGAAGTAACTGGATCGTGATCAAAGTGTCTCCCCTACCAGGTAAGTATATGTGGTTAGAAAAAATATTGGGTGAACAAGTGGATTTTAAACCTGAACTTTTTTTACTAGGTATTATGCTTGAAAAGACTAATAAGCAGAAATTATATTTAATCTTAAACATCACTACAGCAGCGAGAATAATTTTTGCACAATACTGAAAGAATGAAGGATTGCCATCAGAAGAAGAAATAATCAGGAAAATATTGGAATGTGCAGAGATGGACAGATTAACTATGAGGTTGAAAGATGAAGAAGATACAGACTACTATCAAATTTGGGAGCTATTTTATTCTTGGCTAGAGGAAAGAATGAAGGATTAGGAATTGAACATGTATTAGTATAGCAAACTCCAGACAACTTGTTGATTGGAAAAATTAATATATGTTGATGAAAAAAAAACAATAAAATCTTTATATATAAAAAAAGAAGTAACTGGATCGAAGTCACCCAGCGGGCTTCCACACCTAAAGAAAAACTAGATACTGGGTTTCCTGTTTTTGTTCCAGCACATTCACAATGACACAATGCTGTGTAGATGGGCAGATAAAAAAAATGTAATGCTGGGTCTTGAGCAATAGAAAACCATAATTATGGAAAAGGAGAGAGAATTATGACAAAGATATATCTAATCTGGAAGTCTATCCCCTAAATAGTTTCTCTCTTTAAGAAGTAAGAATACAACATTAAAGTAACAGAATAACAGAAGGGACCTTGGAGGTCTTCTAGTCCAACCCCCTGCTCAGGCAGGAAACCCTATACTATTTCAGACAAATAGCTGTCCAGTCTTTTCTTAAAAACTTCCAGTGTTGGAGCATTCACTGTTTCTGGAGGCAGGTTGTTCCACCGGTTAATTGTTCTAACTGTCAGGAAATTTCTCCTTAGTTCCAGGTTGCTTCTCTTCTGGATTAGTTTCCATCCATTACTTCTTGTCCTGCCTTCAGGTGCTTTGGAGAATAGCTTGACTCCCTCTTCTTTGTGGCAGCCCCCTTAGATATTGGAACACTGCTCTAAATATGAAGTGCATATTTAGGAAAAGGCAACATACAAATGTAGATACAATCCCAGAATTCCAGCCAGCTTAGTCCAATGTTTTTCAGCTTTGGCATTTTAAGTGATGTGGATTTCAACCCTCAAAATTCCCCAGCCAGCTTTCTGGATAATTTTTCTTACAGTTTCAGATGGTTGGTTTTTTAAAAAAGGGAAGAAATATTATTCCAAGAAGCTGTAAAAATAATAGTTCTAGGAACTAGCATAATTCCCTAGCATCACCTGGGAGTTAGTCAGCAGAAAATCTCACTAATTACCCCAGACAGATGTCATCTTAAGTGCAATGTCATGCTGACCCCAAGTTAAGGAAAACAACAGAGATTTGTTCCAGGGATAGGTCATTCATCAAAACTGTTTATATTTCAAAATAGCATCTAAATCCATAAACAAGGATGTGTGCCTAGGAAAACATTGTGTTCCTTCTCAAACTGAATATGAGTTGCCAAGATTGAGAAACGTTTGAGCTCAATCTTCCAACTGGGAATTCTGGGAGTTGCGATCCTGACACATCTGGAAAATGCTTTTTACAGGCATTTTCCAGATGTGTTGGGATTGCAAGTCCCAGGGTTTTCTTTATCCAAAGAAAACCAACTTAGTTTGTATCAGTTATGTTGGATCAAATGCAAAAGGAAGAAAAACGTACCCAAATTCTGGTAGATATTTGTCGAAATTAATATTGTCCTCGTAGATGACTCTCAACTGCTCATCAATCGCAATTACTTTCAGCTGGAGAAAGAACAAGTTATTAATTCTGAATTCAGAAGAAGCCATCATTTCTATATGATCAGCCACTAGAAAGTGATACTTCATGCTGGCTACCTCCCACAATCATAAAGCATGGATTGTTGATTAATGTCCTATTTCTCGGGTGCAAATTAGAGCCTCACCAAAAAGAGATTGAAATCCTTATGATTAGGTTGGAAAAATATTTCACCATTTCCTGTCAGTGTCCCTTTATTTCTGCATGATCAAGCTCTTCTTTTACTATTGCTTTTCACAAAACCCAAATTTTAAAACATTAACTTGTGGTAGATAGCTACCTATTTTTCCTTCTGCTCATGTCAAGAGAGAAATAGAAGATGACAACCTTGGATACTGCTGTGATGGAGTTTTTTGTTTAACAAAATAATGTGAAAATAATTCAACACTTTATTTTACCTCTCCCTATTGTTGCATACAGGTGGTCCTCGATTGTCCTCAATTTACAACCACAATGGACTATGGAATTTCAATTTTTGCAATCATAAGTTGAAGCACATGACTGGACTCAATTTTATGGCTGTTTTTACAACAGTTGTAAAGTGAGTCATTAAGGTCATAAAGCATATCACATGTTCTTTAAGCCAGGGTCTTCAAACCTGGCCCTTTTATGACTTGTGGACTTCAACTCCCAGAATTCCTCAGTCAGGCATGCTGGCTGAGGAATTCTGGGAGTTGAAGTCCACAAGTCATAAAAGGGTCAAGTTTGAAGACCCCTGTTTTAGATCTAACCTATTACTCCTAAGGTCTCCAGGTGTCACCTATCCACATTTTAATCAGATCTAAACCTGCTCAGCTTTTTTCAAGATTAGTCCAAGAACTCATTCTACTTTCTATTAAAATTAAACTAGCTGCATGCAGTAAATATGATCAGTTCCTAGCCATGAATTTAATATTTTCCCTTACTCTAAATTACAATTCCGGTTGGCTCCTGAGGCTACATATGGCTGAGCCTTCATGATGTGAAACTGAGTTAGCTGCTTTGCAGAAGTATTTTTAATTTTTTGTGGCCTTTGCCATCTGGATATTCTCTTTGAATAAAATAATTGTAGATTCTTTTCACAAGATACACAGTCTTTAAAGCATAGGATACACAGAGAGAAGGAGGTTTACATAACCTGCCCTTCAAAGAAGATCCAGAATGTATGTGCAAGAAGAATTTATAAAGTGACATGCACTTTCTGTCTAATTTTAGTTTGTTTTGGTCTAACAGATATTAAACTATTAAGAAATCTACAACAGTTAACTGCATAGTTAACCTTTGGTTCCTCATCTGAGTATGTCACAGCTCAAGCGAGTTGAAGTTGGGTTTGCTTGTAAACTTTAAGAAGTCTTAAAATGGTTCACTTTTCAGAGTTTGCCTTACTAGAGGATGAAAATTATTTTAAAAGTATGAAGTTCATCCTTTCTGAACAAACAGAGAGTACTTTAAAATGCAGATGTCAAGGCAAACAGCTCCATGTCTTAAGAAATTTTCCAAGCAGTGCTATGATGCTCCTTTGGAATTCTCTTTTTCTCTTTGAGGAAAAAAATCTCCAATCAATACAAGAAATACACATTTGCAGATATAGATAGTAGCAGCAACATCTTTTAAAATTTTGTAAAATATCAAAAAATAACAGTGGAATTTTAGATTGGTGCTTTTCAAACTTGGCAACTTTAAGATGTGAGAACGTCAACTCCCAGAATTCCCCATGCTTGCTGGGGAATTCTGGAAGTTGAAAGTCCTCACATCTTAAAGTTGCCAAGTTTAAATAATATTGCTGTATACATGGAAACTGAACAAAGGATTTTATCATAAACGAATTTTTACTTGAATCTCACCTCTCAATAAAGTTGCAATCCTATATACTGCTGGGGTGAAACTGGAGCAAAAATCCCAGCAAAAACACCTACAAATTTTCCTCCATTATATTTTGATTCTAAACCAACTTAATCATATATGTAAATGACTAACTATTTGGGTTTTTAACTGAAGGACATGGAGAAAATCTTAAGATTCTCAGCTAAGTCTACTTGTCTGACAGAGCAGGAACCTGGAATCAGGATCTCAGTACACTGAACATGTGCAAAGAGTGCTTGGGGGGAAAGAAGGTCTAGACCAGGGGTAGGCAACCTTGGCTCTTTTATGACTATGCTGGCTCAGGAATTCTGGGAGTTGAAGTCCACGAGTCATAAAAGAGCTAAGGTGGCCTACCCCTGGTCTAGATTCTAGTCCAAACATATCCAACACAAGGCCCAGGGGCCGGATGTGGCCCGCGAAGTGGTTTCATGTGGCCCGCGAAGCCATCCTGTAAACAGTGAGGGAATGGCCCCCACTGTCTTGGCCCTGGCCCAGGCTGGCCGGGAGCCAATGTACAATTTTGTGGTGGCCCTCTATGCTGAAATGCATTCAGTCTGAGCTCCACAAGGCAGTCTGGAAACAGTGAGGAACCAGCCCCTGGGTGCATGCTGGGGAGGTGTCAACCTTTATGACAGTGGTTCTCAACCTTTTTAATGCCGCAACCCCCAACCGGTCGTAAGTCGAGGACTACTCAACCAGTCGTAAGTCAAGGACTATTCAACTGGTGCAGCACCGTTTGCAGAATGGGACTTTTGGCAGCCTCAGCAGGGCAGAGACAGCCTGGACAATTCCTATTGGCTTTTGAAAGCCAATAGAATTAGACTCTATTCAAGAGTCTATTCCATTGGCTTTCAAAAGCCAATAGAATAAAAGGGAGTAGCACAGCTAAGGAAAAGGGGGAAAAAATGGCAGACTGCGTTGTTTGGCGACTCCCGTGAAATGGTCATTTGACCCCAAATGGGGTCCTGACCCACAGGTTGAGAACCACTGCTTTATGAGGAATAAAGAAATGCACCATCACCTGGAAGCGGCCAGCAAATGGCCCTCGTCTACTTCACATATCCAGCTTGATGGGCTCTGTCCTGGTCCCACCCCCTTCTGCCAGAGTCCCTCAGATCTGTCCCACTCCTGCCCAGGCCCCCACAGGCACCCTTGAGCAAATGATGTAGAGCTGGCCACGCCCACCCAGTAGGCCACACCCACTTTATCTCACCCAGTAGGCCGCACCCACCGCCCCCCCAGGGCAACTGTAATGCTGATGCGGCACTCAATGAAATTGAGTTTGACACCCCTGCTCTAGTCCAAGCTACCCAGGGACCCACCCCCACCCCATTGTGGAAGAACGAGCGGGAAAGATTATTTAATATTTATTATTCAATTAATAAATAACGATGAAGATTATTTATTTAAAGATTTTTAAAATTTTATCTTTGCCTTGTAAATTTTATGTGCATTATTTTTACGCTTTAATATCAGAGAGAGGCAGAATGAGAGAAATCTTGCGTCTCATCGGGGGAGCTTGCCTAAAAGTACATTTTCTACCAAAAACTAAAATGAGTTCAAGTTTTATTCTTTTTTTAAACCAGCCTTCCCAAGTAAACACCGTCTGTGACGTCAGGCTGTAACTCCCATCCCGTGTGCCGGGGATGATGGGATCTGCACTGCGAGGCGCAGTCTCCTTGCTCCGCGCGCGCTCGGCGCTGCTGGAGAGAAGGCGGCTGAGCCCCGTAGCTGCTACCGGAGCAACGGCTCTTTGCAGCCTGCCCAGCTGCTGCCGCCACCGACGCCTCCGCCTCCTGCTCGGTACCTGCTGGGTGCTGAAGTCCCACCCCAAGGCGCAGAACCCAGGAGACAAGGCCATGACGATTCCGCTTCCTCCTCTCGGCGAGCGCGGTGGGAGGCGACGTGGAAGCAACTCCGGACGACGACGCCTCCTTTGCAATGCCAAGCGTCGCGCTCCCTGCTGGCTGCCTTCTCTGGAGCAGGATCCGGATTGCCCAACCGTTGGCCGGCCCGCCCACACATCCGTCCGGAGTATGCAGGGCATTCCACGTTCATTCCCCGGAGTCTATAAGACCGGACCGATGCCCGAGCGTAAAAGGGAACTGGTGCGCACAGCCTGTCTGTGGAGGATCTATTTGAAGCGATGCTAGAAGCAGAAGTTAAACAAAAATGAAAATTAAATCTGTCTGTCTGTCTATCATGGCCGCCCATCTCATTCTCAGTAGCTTTCAGGGGTATACAGTAGAACCAACAATTAAAACATTATTTATAGAGACCAAATAAAAAACAAGATTGCAAGAGGAAATGGATCAGAATGTTATTTAGTATTATTTAACCAATGTCCTGACTTTAAAAACATTAGGCAGACATTTGGGATTGAAAAATTATTATTCCTCTTTTTTCCTCCTGTCACACTTTCTCCAATTTTTTTTAGAGAGCAACTACAGTACTGCTGGCAATAAAAAATAATTCCAACATACAGTAACTTTGAAACACATTTTGTAATTATTTACAGCCAAAATAATATACCTTTGTTTTCCTTTTGTTGTATTTTTTTCCACTTTTTAAATTTTATATGCGTGCTTTTCTTTTCTTTGGCAATGCATGTATTTTTATTTGTGTTTCTTTCCATTTCTCAAAAAATTAAAAAAAATTAAAAGATTTAAAAAACATTAAGAAAAATGATTTCAAATTTCACCAAAGAAATGCATGATGTGTCGTGGCACAAAACAATCAAGAAGGTGGATAATACTTGCCTTTAAATCCCAAAGGTATTTTTTCCAAAAAGGAACTGGACTTTCTTGGAGTTTTTTTTTCCTTTGAAAATGTTTTGCTTCTCATCTAAGAAGCTTCTTCAGTTCTAACTGAACTGAAGAAACTTGGATTAGAAGCAAAACATTTTTAAGGAAAAAAAAACCAAGAAAGTCCTGTTGCCTTTTGAAAAAACACTGTGAGAGGACAGCATACACATGTCCTGAGAACGAAATATTTTGGGGAATATTAAAAAGAATATTATATTTCCCCAAAGGAATAGTGGAGAAGGTCTTAAAAATCATGGCATCTGGCCCTCTCAATTCCTGGCAAATAGATGGGGAAGAAATGGAGGTAGTGACAGATTTTATTTTTCTGGGCTCCAAGATCACCTCAGATGGGGACTGCAGCCAAGAAATTAAAAGACGCTTGCTCTTGGGGAGGAAAGCTATGGCAAATCCAGACAGCATTCTAAAAAGCAGAGACATCACCCTGCCAATAAAAGTGTGTATAGTCCAGGCCATGGTTTTCCCAGTTGCAATGTATGGCTGTAAAAGTTGGACCATAAGAAAGGCTGAGCACCAAAGAATTGAGGCCTTTGAACTATGGTGCTGGAGAAGACTCCTGCGAGTCCCTTGGACTGCAAGGCGTTCAAACCGGTCAGTCCTAGAAGAGATCAACCCCGACTGCTCTTTAGAAGGCCAGATCCTGAAGTTGAAACTCAAGTACTCTGGCCACCTAATGAGAAGGAAGGACTCGCTGGAGAAGGGCCTAATGCTAGGAAAGATTGAGGGCAATAGAAGAAGGGGACGACAGAGAATGAGATGGCTGGATGGAGTCACTGAAGCAGTAGGTGTGAACTTAAATGGACTCCAGAAGATGGTAGAGGACAGGAAGACCTGGAGGAACGTTGTCCATGGGGTTGCAATGGGTCGGACACGACTTCGCAATTAACAAACAACAACAAATAGTCACTTGATTTTAAGGTTATGCCTGCTGGCTGGAAAGCATGTGGATTAAAAGGAGATTATGTCCTTTGGCCATATATCTTGTAAGCCTACATGCACCAGCTTCTACACTTGTGTGCACACACAGAGAGACATACACATAACCTTGAAATGGGACTGATTGTGCTATATCCCATCTTTCTTCCAAGAGGTCAAGTGTGTATTTGTAGCACTTTTCTGAATTTTCCCCCAGTTGAAGCTCATGAAAAGGCTTGGGCTGAGTCAAAATGATGATTTTGTTTCAGGCCCTTTATGGTGTTCCATACCAAACATCTAATTTGGCTTCATTTCACAGTTTAATTTACTTTGGAAAGTCAATTTTGCTTTTGCTTCAGTTAAAACAGTTGGGAATAATTATTCTACACCTACTTTTTTTTCATTCAGCAAAGTTGCTGAGCTTTTATGTTTGCATGTATTTTAGCATGTAGGTCAGTGGTGGGATTCAAATATGTGAACAACCGGTTTCTATGTGGATGCCACTACCGGAAGTCCATTCTGGGCCTGGGCAACAAAAAATTACCTACTGGTTCTGCCAAAGTGGTGCAGAACCCACCACTGATGTAGGCCTTCAACAACTGGTGTTTCAGCCACCAAGATTTGATGATGAGAAAAGCTTGCTGGTTTGCAGTCTGGATGAAAATTCTGTCATGGAAAAGATAAGGTAAAGTAAGGTAAGGTAAGGTAAGATAAGATAAGATAAGATAACCTTCATTGACATTTTTTTTTACTGTGGGCACAATGGCACACATCAAAAATGAAATTTAGTTGCCCGCTCTCAAAGTGAAACACATACATGACACACACCTAAACATACTATGTACAAGATATGTACAGACCCACAACCCTACATGTACATAACAAATAAATATTAAATATTTTCCATCTTGAATACGTAAGGGAAGTAGGAAGCTTGAGAGTTCACAAGGTTAATGCTGTATGGAATGAAACTATTGCTGAATCTGGATGTTCTGCTTCGGATACCACAAAGCCCCCTCCTCCCAGAAGGTAACAAGGGTAACAAAAGCACAACAGTTTTTGTGTGAGGCTATTGCAACAACCCTTTGCAGGAGAGCTCTTACGCTTTAAGAGCTATAAAGAGGTCTATGGAGATTCTCCATTATCCAGGTCATGGTTGTCCCCAAGGTGCTTTTGAAGAGGCACCTGGACTTTCTTGTTTGGGGTCTCCTAGGGATGTCACTGCTGTCTTTTCTTGAATTGTGAGGTTGGAGGGGGGTGTTATGGTACTGGCAAGGGCTGCAGATACCTTCATCCTAATTGTTCTACCTCTGGTTCTGCCAGTTTATTGTTCCTGGTGGCTGACTCTGTGGCTGGGAAAAGGTCTACAATTTGTAGTTCTGGTGTTACTGCAAAACAAGAAAGTCCAGTTGCCTCTTGAAAAAGCACCTTTGGGATGAGCTATAAGTAAGGTGACCAACTTTTTTACAATGAAAAGGAGGACACAAATAAATTGAAGAAAAAAATATCATAAATAAAAGAAACATTTTTAAGGTGACCAACTTTTTTACAGTGAAAAGGAGGACACAAATAAATTGAAGAAAAAATATCGTAAATAAAAGAAACTTTTATTCATTTCAACAATAATACAGACATCTTGCATGTGCAAAGTTTGCTAGCCAGGTGTTTTGGCGCGCTCAGCAGCAATTCCTATTGGCTTTCGAAAGCCAATAGTGGGAGTAGCACAGCTCATGCAAAAGTTGAAAAAAAAAACATCAAAAAAGGTGCCGGAACACTGTTCTGAGCGTTCTATGAGGGGGGGGGGAAGCCCTGTAGATTAGTCTTCAAATATCGAAAAGGAGGACATGAAGGAGGACACTTTTTGAGGGAGGACAGAACTTATAAAAGGAGGACTGTCCTCCCTAAAGGAGGACGGTTGGTCACCTTAAATTTTATTCATTGCAACAATAATACAGACAACTTGCATGTGCAAAGTTTGCCAGCTGGGTGTTTTGATGCGCTCAGCAGCAATTCCTATTGGCTTTCGAAAGCCAATAGTGGGAATAGCACAGCTCATGCAAAAGTTGAAAAAAAAAACATCAAAAAAGGTGCCGGAACACTGTTCTGAGCGTTTTATGAGGGGGGGGGGGAAGCCCTGTAGATTAGTCTTCAAATATCGAAAAGGAGGACATGTAGGAGACACTTTTTGAGGGAGGACAGAACTTACAAAAGGAGGACTATCCTCCCTAAAGGAGGACGGTTGGTCACTTTATTATAAGGAAGGTAGAAATTCAATAGGTCATGTTCTTTCACTGCAAAATCTCCACTCTTTAGGCCAGGGGTAGGCAACCTTGGCTCTTTTATGACTCGTGGACTTCAACTTCCAGAATTCCTGAGCCAACATGGCTCAGCTTGGAAACCTCTCCATTTCCTCTCAGCATGGCTGGCTCAGGAATTCTGGGAGTTGAAGTCCACGAGTCATAAAAGAGCCAAGATTGCCTACCCCTGCTTTAGGCCCTGAACAATTAGCTTTGTTATTCTCAGATGGGAAGAAAATAGCTTGGCAACATCTTTTATGTAATTTACATAACAATATAGCTATTGCTGGCAATAAAATGACAACAGACCAAAGGGATTTTCTATTATGCAAATGAGCCTTATCAAAGTCCTCTGGAACATCAGCAGTGACACTGATTAGAAACCATCCAATTTAAGCATTTTTTTGCTTTGTTTTTTAATTAAGCTGCTAAACCAGTTGTTTTGTATATCTTTGACTCAAACATTTCAAGAAACCTTATAGAAACGATCATTTTTGGGCTTCCTAGCAGCACACTGTACAAATTCCTTTTGTTTCCTTGGCAAGACCAGAAATTACTGCTGGAGAAGTGCATCATCCATTTCACACAGATAGTGTGCAAAATGTTCCAAGCTCTAATTGTGCCTTGCTGAACTTGCACTGTTCTGGAGTTGGGATGAATTAAAATCACCATCTCCAACCCGACATTGTTGTCATAACATCTACCTGAAATAGTAGGATATTGTAAAATAAACAATAAAATTGCCTAGGTCTGGAGTCCTGTGTGAAGGGTCCTATTGCCTGGTTATATTAACATCTATGGATTGTCATTCTTCTCGGCTGCTGTACATATTTCATTTTCTTTCTTATTGTGATTGTAATTTGGTTTTAATTTATTTTGTGATTGTTCATTGCTCAGAGTCACTTGTTTGAAATATAAATTGATGCCACATAAATTGAACAAATATAATAATAATAATTTGAATGTTCAGTTGACTGAAGTTCACATCTAATGAATAATAATAATAATAATAATAATAATAATAATAATAATAAGTCTGGATAGTGGACGTGGCAGTGCCTGGAGATAGCAGAATAGAAGAGAAAGAACTGGAGAAGATAACAAAATACAAAGACCTACAAATAGAAATAGAAAGACTGTGGCAAAAGCAAGCAAGGGTAGTACCAATAGTCATAGGCTCCTTGGGTGCAATCCCAAAACAACTGGAGCACCACTTGAACACCATTGGCATTGACAAATTCGCTATTAGTCAATTGCAAAAGGCGGCCTTACTAGGAACTGCTTCCATCCTGCGACGATATCTGTAATACCATCAAACATCCACATCTGCCTATCCCAGGTCCTGGGTAAGGACTCGATAGGTAGACAAAATGCCAAATCCAGTCTGAACATCTGGCTGACTGTGCGATGATCTATAATAATATAATAATATCATTTGCCTGCAAGCAAGAATTAATGGGACAGCAAAAAGTCATGGAAAATGAAGAAACCAAAGTACTCTGGGACTTTAGATTTAAAACAGATGGACCAACATAATACCCCAGATTTAACAATTATTGATAAGACAAAAAAGTCTGGATAGTAGATATGACAATACCTGGAGACAGCAGGTCTCAAAATATAAAGAGCTGCAAATAGAAGTAGAAGATATTTCCAAAGAAAGCAAAAATAGCACCAATAGTAATAGGCACTTTAAGTGCCATCCCAAAACATCTGAAGCACTATATGAACACCATTGGCACTGACAAAATTATCATCAACTAATTGCAAAAGGCAGTTTTGCTTGGAACAGCTCACATCCTGTGACAATACTTTTAATATTATTAATATCTGGGAAGGACTCGATAAGGTGACAAAAATGCCAGATCCAATCTAAACACCTGGGTGTCTGTGCAACCAACCATACTAATACAAAATAGAAATAAATAATTTTAAAAACCCATCTATGCAGTCACTGGGAACTGAAATCAAATTGAGGGCATATAATCAATCACTTAAAGAGATGAAAATGGAAGAAGAAGGAAGACAGAAAGAATCCCTGGCAAGAATGGATACCGCCTCTGTATAAACTGCAGTTTTAATGTCAACCAGCATCCCAACTTTTTGTTCACCTGGCTACGTTAGATGAGCTTTTATGCTACGTGTAGGATTTTGGCACTGTGTCCTAGATTTAGTCTTAAATCAACAACAGTTCAAGCCAGAACATTTTGTCTTTAAAGCTGCATTCAGGTGCTCAGCAAGTTGCTTTACCTGGAGCAAAGCACATATCGCTGCTGAATGAAATCAGTGTCTTCCAGCCAGATCCCCAGGCACAACATCTTTCCAATGGTGCCAGGATGAGGGACCTACATTGCTTGTGTCTGATTTTGTCTTTCTTATGGGAACAGATGGTGAAGGCTTATAAATATATGAGTGGTATATTTCTAGTAAGTCATTCATCGAACCAGCAAGCCACAGACGGTTCCAGGCCGCCCAGCCAGATGGATGTAAACCGGCTCCAGGAGCAATATCACTACTTAAAAGAGAAACAAAAGCTGCACACCCATGTTGTTGTGTTTAAAACAGGTATGTTTTGGAGCAACAGAGAGTTTGACAACCAGGCATTCCTAAATTCCATGTTGTTCTTCAAGAGGAAGGCGTCTGCACTGCCCAAAGGCAACATTTCATTAGATTTTGTGGCGAAATTTCTTATGCCACCTTAAAAATTAGCAGGTGCAGTGGGCCATATGTTACGCATCTGTTAGTCTTTAAGGTGCCACAAGATTCACAATGGTGCCTTTGAGAGCAGACAAGGAATCCCTTACTATGTATGTTTATTCAGAAGCATGTCTGTCAATGTTACTTAGGACTTACTTCCTGCTGCGGGGAGAAATTTAACATACACATCCCTCTATATTGCTGTCAGCAACAGTTAACAAATGTTTCTTCCCAGTGAGTCCTTGATTAATCAAGTTTTAATTTACTGATTTGGAGGGGGGGGGGGAAGAGAGGCTTTAAACTCTCCCAAATCCAAGCAGGATACTAAAGAATTCAGCAAAAGGGGAAAAAATCTGGCATGACGGGAAAAATACCAGGATTTGCAATTCCAAAAGTGTTCAATTAAATGGTTCCTAGGAACCCAACTGATTTTGCATAGGAGAAAAGGTGAAGGACAAATAGCTAGAACTGTTCCTCTGTGTTTTTAAAATACTAAGCCAATAGAAGTAATCAGAATATACAGGCTGATTCAATTGTCTGATTGAATTACAGTAACGTTCTTTGGAGTAGACATTCAAGGTGATTTTTTTTTTTAGAAGTTGAGATGCTTAAAAAAAATTAAGATCTTATGTTCATTGACTTTTGAACCTGGATAAAAAAAAAAATTCAAATTTATGGCAACTAAAAATTTTGAAGAACAGTCCCAGAAAACCTGAAAAGTAGACACCTCCATATACTTAGGACATTAAAAGTTTCCTTTGAGGTAAGTTCAGTTTTTGGTGACTTGAGGAATGCAGCCATGGGGTTTTCTAAATAACAGTACAGCTAGTCTTTGATATACTGTATGATATAACCATAACATGGAACAGAATTTCTTCTGATACACAAGATAGTTGTTAAGTGAGTTGCACCCAGTCTTACAACATTTTTGGCATGATTGTTAAGTGAATCACTATAGTTGTTATATTGATCACACAGTCATTAAGCAGATCCGGCTTCCCTTATTGAGTTTGCTTCTCAAAAGCTGGCTGGGAAGGTCGCAAATGGCGATCACATTACCCATGATCCTGTTACCATCATAAATTGCCAATTGCCAAGCTTTGATCATGGATGCTGGGAAAGTTGTAAATCAAGGACAGGTCATAATTTTTTCAGTGCTGTTGTAACTTCACATAGTTGCTAAATGAATGGTTTTAAGTCAAGGACTATCTATACAGAGCTAAGGTGGCGCAGCAGTTAGAGTGCAGTACTGCAGGCCACTTTAGCTGACTGTGTTCAGCAGGTCAGCGGTTCAAATCTCACCGGCTCAAGGTTGACTCAGCTTTCCATCCTTCCATGGTAGGTAAAATGAGGACCAGATTGTTGGGGGCAATGTAAATATATATATACATTGCTTACTGGTGTACACCGCTTAGAGAGTGCTTGCACTTAAAGCGGTATATGTCTCATAAATAAATAAATAAATAAATACAGAATGGTGTGACACTGCTTTCTTCCGAGGTGGTTTTCATCTTCTTTCTCTTAGATTTCTATTCAGAAATTGTATCCTGTCTCTATTTTATGCAACTGATTATGAAGTGGACTGGGCTGAGATAGAGAGTGACAGGCCAACGTCGCCCAGTCTGCTTCCATTGCCTAAAGGAGCACTAGAACTCACTGTCTCCTGGATTGTGGTCCAACTCTTTCACCTCTATGCCCAACTGGTTTTCATCATTTCTAAATAATGCCATTGTATGTAAATCTTTGTTTCAGTTCTGAATTGTTTGTTCCATGGATGTTTTCTCAATTATCCCACAGTTGCTTAATGTTCTTTTTTAAATCCTGCCACAGTTTTGCTCTTGCAGGACCAGGAACACCTAATTTAATAAATAAAGACATTGGATTATTGCAGATTAACTTGTTTGCTCATGTTTCTTACAGCAGAACTGAAGTTTTTTTGTTTTTTGTTTAGCAGAGCTCGCTAGAGGTAATCCTCAATTTACAACTGTAATTGAGCCATGTTTTTGTGACTAAGCAAGGCAGTTTTTTAAGTGAGTTGTTCCTTATTTTATGACCTTTTACGCCCAGTCTGCTTCCGTTGTCTAAAGGAGCACTAGAACTCACTGTCTCCTGGACTGTGGTCCAATTCTTTCACCTCTATGCCAAACTGGTTTTCATCATTTCTAAATAATGCCATTGTATGTAAATCTTTGTTTGTTTCAGTTCTGAATTGTTTGTTCCATGGATATTTTCTCAGTTATTCCACAGTTGCTTAATGTTCTTTTTTAAATCCTGCCAACAGTTTTGCTCTTGCAGGACCAGGAACACCTAATTTAATAAATAAAGACATTGGATTATTGCAGATTAACTTGTTTGCTCATGTTTCTTACAGCAGAACTGGAGGGGTTTTTTTTTTAGCAGAGCTCGCTAGAGGTAATCCTCAATTTACAACTGCAATTGAGCCCATGTTTTTGTGACTAAGCAAGGCAGTTTTTTAAGTGAGTTGTTCCTTATTTGATGACCTTTTTTGCCACAGCTGTACAGTGAATCACTGCAGTTGTGAATCATACAGTGGTTAACAAAGCTTGTTTCCCCCACTGACTTTGCTTCCCATCTGGGAAGATTGCAATAGGTGATCACATGACACTAGGAATGTGGAACTTCATAAATGCATGCCGGTTACCAAGCATGCAAATTTTGATCACGTGACCTTGGGGATGCTGCAATGGTCGTAAGTTTGAAAATGGTCATAAGTCACTTTTTTCAGTGCTGTTGTAACTCTGAACAGTCACTAAACAAATGGCTATAAGTCAAGGACTCCCTGTATGCTTGAGACATCTTTGCCAATTGAAGTGAACCTTTATAGAGGACAGCAAGGTAGACTAAACTAGGACAATTCAGAGAAATCAGGGTAGATTCCTTATTTTTTTATTAATGGCAATATTAATGAAACTGGTCAGATTCTAAAATGAGAATCTATGAAGATAGCTGTCCAATATTGGGGATGTGGGTTATTACAGTACAGAATTAAGTTCATCTTTCAATCACCTTTGGATGTCTTGCATCAATCCAGCTTCTTCCCAGGAAAAGTGAAGTCATGGTCTTTAGCCTGCGGTCCTGGAGACATTGTTAGGAGACTCAACCATGCTCTGAAAAAATGAATAAAAAAGAGGAAGACCAAATGTATTAATTTATTGATGTATTTATATGGGTCACTTGTTAGATTCACATTCTAAATTTTAAGATTCCACAGTTTGTTGTTCTTCAATCTACACCATGGGGTTACATATATAAGTAGTTCTCAACTTACAGCCATTCATTTAGGCACCATTCGAAATTACAGTGGAACTGAGGGAAGTGAACTATCACCCTTCCTCACACTGAAGATCATTGCAGCGTCCCTGCAAGTCATGTGATCCCAAATTGAGCTCTGGCAAACTAGCACGTATTTACCATGGTTACAAAACCCCAGGTCTCTGCAATGGCCATTCCCAAGTTTTCCAGCCACTTTCTGACAAAGTCAATGGGGGAAGGTGGATTAACTTAACAGCTGTGTGATTCACTTAACAACGGTGGCAAAAAAAGTTCATAAAATCAGGTGCAATTCCCTTAATAACCAGCTTATTTAGCAACAGAAATTCTGGTCCTAGCTGTGATCGTAAGTTGAGGATCACCTATAAATGTTTTCAAAGGGTACTGAAGAAAAAGGGAAATGCTCCAATGCAGATTCCTAACACTCTCCAGATGTGCCAGGACTCCAATTCCTACAATTCCTTGCCAGCATTATGGTAGATGGACTCCCAAGACATCTAGAGCACAACAGGTTAGGAGAAGTTGTTGTAATGAGTCTCTTTCAGGCTGAAATTCCCCTTGAAAAGTTCCTAAACGTTGCAGTAAAAAGCAGCCAAATAATGCGGATCCTGGATTTTAATATATAACTAGGAAAGAATTGTGTTGCATTTGGATTACTGCTTATCAGGTTATGTCATCATGCACTTTCCCAACTTTCTAGTTAAGGATCTGTTGTATTAATGGCCATCTCCTGTGCTAAAGAAAAAACTGATGAAGGGAAAGAGAGAATTATCCCTGCTAATGGACACCTTAAAAAAAAAACTGTCTTAACTTTGGTTCCTCCCTTTCAGCCTGGCTCAGCATCCACGCATCTTCCACTGTCTTCCCCATTAATAGCCTTTTGTGCTTCTCTGTCTATCTCAGTGGTTCTCAACCTTTTTAATGCCGCGATCCCCAACCGGTCGTAAGTCGAGGACTACTCAACCAGTCATAAGTCGAGGACTACTCAACTGGTGCAGCACCGTTTGCAGAATGGGACTTTTGGCGGGCTCAGCAGGGCAGAGACAGCCTGGACAATTCCTATTGGCTTTTGAAAGCCAATAGAATTAGACTCTATTCAAGAGATTCTATTCTATTGGCTTTCAAAAGCCAATAGAATAAAAGGGAGTAGCACAGCTAAGGAAAAGGGGAAAAAATGGCAGACTGCGTTGTTTGGCGACCCCCGTGAAATGGTCGTTCGACCCCAAATGGGGTCCTGACCCACAGATTGAGAACCACTGGTCTATCTGATAATGGAAACAGTGTCTCCTTTCTGTCCCAGTGTTAATGGGGTACATTGATTCCAAAGCAGGCTTGTTCCAATTTGGCACACTCTTCTGAAATGTTGAGATTGCAACTTTTGGACTTATAGCACATCTGGAGAATGCCAAGTGGAGATCGCTACTTGTCTTCCTGTTTCTTTGGCCCAATTTAGATGGGTGAGATCCGATGAAGAGAGTCAGGATAAGGGCCCTTCCACATGCTTAACTGCCGTTGGGTTCCTTCAAAATGGAGGAGAGCTTCCAGAAAGTTTGAAAGGTTAATTTAAGTCATTTTGT